ATCAAATCAGTCTTCTTAATCTGCTCATGTTCCATCGGTAGCCCAGCACCAATAGCCCAGCATGTTGTCACGGGTTTCCAGTGAAAAAGTCATTCTAAAGAGACCGAATGTGCCATTTCCAAACCTAGGGCTGTGCGGGCCCCTAGTAATCTTACTCTCCACCATAAACTTCCTTTAGGCTTCTTCCTCCTAATAAACTCAGTCACACATTGACCATAGGGGGATGGAAGGAATCAAATAGTGTGTGCTCAGAGAGCAGATATGAGACTGTGTTGCGAAAGCCTGAAACCATCCTAACTCTACATACACCAAGGAAACAGAGGAGAGTTCCAGCTTAGGGGGTGGAGTTTGGTCAAAGAACTCCAAATAATAATTATTATTATTTAAAAGACTTTGATTGTTAGTTTCTGATGATAGTTGCTGTTAGCTGCTGTCGAGTTGACTCTGACTCACAGTGACTTTGTGTACAATAGAATGAAATGTTGCCTGGTCCTGCGTCATCTTCATGATTACTGGCATGTTCAAGTCCATTATTGCAGCTGTTGTGCCAACCTATCTCACTGAGGGTCTCCCACACTCTCGCTGGCCCTACTTCACCAAACATGATGTCCTTCTCCAGCAATTGATCCCTCCTGATGACATGTCCAAAGCAAGCAAATCAGATAATGTTCTGTTGTGATCCATAAGATTTTCATTGGCTAATTTTTGGAAGTAGATCTCCGGGCCTGTTTTCCTAACCTGTCCACCATAAGTGATCCTGATGGTCTTTGAAATACTGGCAGTATAGCTTCCAGCATCACAGCAACATTCAGGCCACCACAGTATGACAAACCGACAGACAGATAGTGGTTCTGATGATTAAGAATACGTAAAACCATGAAAGTAAAAAACAATTCATTAATCTTCCACCTAGAAAGAATCACTGTTGTCTTTTTTGGATATATTTTTCTAGTCTTTTTCTATACATTAGATTGAACACCTGAGATTTCTAATATTCAACCTTTTTTGTCCTATAAAAAAGGCATTAAAAAAAATTTAACCTATATGTGTACACAGTTCTCTTTCTTCCCTCCCTTCTAAAATTAGGATCATATTATCTGCTCAGCTTTGTAACCATTTTTTAACTTTAATAATGATATTTCAGAAGAGACCTGGTGGTGAAACTGTTAAGTGCTCGGCTGCTAACCAAAAGGTTGGTGGTTCAAACCTACTCGGTGGCTCTGTGGAAGAAAGACTTGGTGATCTGCTTTGGTAAAAATTACAAGCCAAGTCACGAATCAAAAAAACAGAAAATAACAAATGTTGGAGAGACTGAAGGGAGATTGGAACTCTTATGCACTCATTGCTGGTGGGAATGCAAAATGGTAAAACCATTTTGGAAGACGATACGGCACTTCCTTAGAAAGCTAGAAATAGAAATACCATATGATCCAGCAATCCAACTCCTAGGAATATAGCCTAGAGAAATAAGAGCCTTCACACGAATAGACATATGCACATCCATGTTCATTGTAGCATTATTCACAATAGCAAAAAGATAGAAACAACCTAGATGCCCATCAACAGATGAGTGGATAAACTATGGTACATACACACAATGGGGTAACACAAAGATAAAGGACAATGATGAATCTGCGAAACATTTCACAACATGGATGAATCTGGAGGGCATTATGCTGAGTGAAATAAGTCAATCACAAAAGGACAAATATTGTATGAGACCAATGTTATAAAAACTCATGAAAAAGTTTACACAGAAGAAGAAACAATTTTTGATGGTTACGATGGAGGGGAGGGGTGGGATGGAAAAACACTAAATAGATAATAGATAAGTGGTAACCCTGGTAAAGGGTAAGACAGTACACAATACTGGGGAAGCCAGCACAGCTTGTCCAAGGCAAGGTCATGGAAGCTCCGTAGACACATTCAAACTCCCCCAGGGACTGAATTATTGGGCTGAGGGCTATGGGGACCATGGTCCCAGGGAACATCTGGCATAACATAGTTTGTAAAGAAAATGTTCTACATCCTACTTTGGTGAGTAGCTTCTGGGGTCTTAAAAGCTTGTGAGTGGCCATCTAAGATGCTCCACTTGTCCCACCCTGTCTGGAGCAGGGGAGAATGAAGAAAACCAAAAACACAAGGGAAAGATTAGTCCAAAGGACTAATGGACCACAATTACCACAGCCTCCACCAGACTGAGTCCAGCACAACTAGATGATGCCCTGCTACCACCACTGACTGCTCTGCCAGAGATCACAACACAAGGTCTCAGACAGAGCTGGAGAAAAATGTAGAACAAAATTCTAACTCTCACACAAAAAACACCAGACTTACTGGCCTGACAGAGACTGGAGAACCCCTGAGAGTATGGCCCCCAGACACCCTTTTAGCTCAGTAATGAAGCCACTCCTGAAGTTCACCCATCAGCCAAAGATTAGACGGGCCTATAGAACAAAACGAGACTAAAGGGGCACACCAGCCCAGGGGCAAGGACAAGAAGACAGGAGGAGACAGGAAAGCTGGTAATAGGGAGCCCAAGGTCGAGAAGGGGAGTGTGTTGACATGTTGTGGGGTTGGTAACCAATGTCACAAAACAATATGTGTAATAATTGTTTAATGAGAAGCTAGTTTGTTCTGTAAACCTTCATCTAAAGTACAATTAAAAAAAAAAAAAAGCTCAGCTGCTAACCAAAATTTCAGTGGTTCAAAACCACCTGAAGTTTCTTGGAAACCCTATGGGGTAGAAAAAAAATTACAGCGAAGAAAACCCTATGGGACATTTCTGCTCTGTCACATGGAGTTGCTATGAGTCAGAATTGACTTTAGGGCACACAACAACAATAATGATATTTCATGAGCGTTTTCGTATTTCAGTAAATAATCTTAAAAAACATTATTTGTAATGTCTACATATTAATCCATCATATGCATGGAGCAAACTTGTGATTGTGGCATATTCTTGTGCATGTTTTGGGGCCATGAAGTGACTCTCATCTTCCACAGGACAGTTCTTCACAGACTGGAAGATAGCTGTCAGATCTCCCTTGTTTAATCTTCCCAAATCCTTCCAAACATCCTCATATGATCTTCTGTCTAGAACCTTTGCCATCTTAATTGTCCTTAACTCTTGTTTTGTCAGTGTCCTCAGTAACTTAGAGTGACCATCCTCTTTCTATGATCTGTCTTAAAAATTTAAAGATACTCTAGGCTAGTACTATTCTTAATGAATATGAATCACCTGGACATCTTGTAAAACTACAGCTTCTCATTAAGTTTGGAGTGGACCCCTGAAAATCTGCATTTCTAAAAAACTCCAGCTGATACTGATGCTGCTGGTCCATGGACCACGCTTTGAGTAGCAAGGGTCCAGACTGTAGATTGTTAACCTCTCAATTTGGAGGTTCAGATTTTAAAAGCTGTTGACAAATCAGCATCCAGGGCAACCAGGTAGTGGTGTCTGGAAACTAGGTCTTTTGAGGAACAATTAGAGCAACTTAGAATATTTGGTAAGGGAAAATAAACTAAACGAAATGACAAGCCAGATGTGATAGTGTCTCCAACTATTTGTGAGAGCAAACTTGCCTGCAATTACTGTATTTTTCGCAAATAATGTGCCCATGTAAATAACGTGCACACATATATAACGCACATAGTGCGCCTAGGAAAATAATGTCCAAGGGGGTTGCGTGGCAAAAATGTATAATGCTCATGTTATTTCTGTGAAAACACAGTAATTGTTGTAGAGGTTGGAAGAAGGACCAATGAATCCAAACCAACATGTCTTAAAGTGTGTCCTTGAACACAAAAAGCCAAACCAAACTGGTTGCTGTCGAGTTGATTCCGACTCATAGCCACCCTATAGGACAGAAGAGAACTGCCCCATAGCATTTCCAAGGAGCAGCTGGTAGATTCACATTGCTGACCTTTTGGTTAGCAGCCTGAGCTCTGAAGCACTGCGCCACCAGGGGTCCCCTCAAACACAAATTTCCGCAAAATGTTCATGGCTGCACTGTTAAAGAAGTTTGGGAACTGCTCATCCCCACTATCTTCCTGATGGTTCACAGTGCATATCAGTATATTAAAGGCTCTGAGAAGTCCTGCAGGAAAGGAATTGGTCTAGCTTTTGTATAGCCAACAGGTTTCCACATTTGTTTCCCCCGGCAACACACACTTATTTTAACATGAAAAGACGTTTTTGTTATAAATGCTATCACTCTTTTTCAGAAACAGTATTCTTTATGAGACTAGGAAGGTCTGGTTTGTTGTATTAGTAGAAGAATCTGATTTATGCTAGAGGAAATCTTTGAAGGAAACTCTCTGCCAACTTAGCATTGATTATACACCTTCAGCTTCAGTTTCCTCCTCTGACAAGTGACTTCATCGGTGGTTTTTAGACTTTAAAACGAAACATAATGTTTTAAAGTGAAATTCCAATATAAAATGCATCCATAAAGAGCTTCTCTGGTTGAGCTTGGCTAATGACGTGGCCACTGTTTATTCTGCCTCCTGTGGGCATTCTCTGGGGGTTAGTGATTGTTCAGTCGTAAAATTCTCGCCTTCCATATGGGAGATCTATGTTCAATTCCCAGCTAATGCACCTCATGCGCAGCTACCACCCGTCTGTAAATGGAGGCTTATGTGTCGCTATAATGCTAAACAGCTTTCAGCTGAGCTTCCAGACTAAGATGAACTAGGAAGAAAAGCCTGGCAATCTACTTCTGAAAATCAGGCAATGAAAATCCTGTGGATGATCTGCAACCAGTTATGGGGATGGTGCATGATCAAGCAATGTTCATTACGCTGTGTGTGTGGGCTCTCCATGAGTTGCGGGTCACTGTGAATCAGGGGCCGAGCTACAGCAGCTAACAACAACCGCAGGCATTCTCTAACTGAGCCCCCGAGGCACTCCATTGAAGGTCTCCTTAGAGCTGAGAATCTTCTCTAGAAGGAGCTCCATAATATCCCTCCTGTGGCTAAGTCTCTGCATTTTCTTTCAGGCGAATGTTCCCTGTCCTAAAGATTAGTGTCGCGGGGCTGGACCCCAATGCCATGTACTCCCTGTTGCTGGACTTTGTCCCAACGGATGGTCACCGCTGGAAGTACGTCAATGGGGAGTGGGTGCCCGCGGGCAAGCCAGAGGTCTCCAACCACAGCTGCGTCTACATCCACCCGGACTCCCCCAACTTTGGGGCCCACTGGATGAAAGCTCCCATCTCCTTCAGCAAAGTGAAGCTGACCAACAAGCTCAACGGGGGTGGGCAGGTACGGTCGGGTCACCTGGCCACCTGCCCTAACCACCCCACAATATCAATCAAGAAATATCAAGGGTGCATTTAGGCAATTAGAGGGACCCTCACCAACCTCTTCTCCCACAGAAGCCAATTATTCCCTGGAGTCCAAGTGTAAACAGGAATAAACAGCTCTTAATTGGAGCTTTCAGTTTTTAATGGACTTCCTGATGTTAAGAGAGAGAGAGTGAGAGAGTGCAGTAGTTTACTTAATTATCACGGCCCTTTTCATAGTTTTGTCTTGTTTGTGGTGCTTTTTACCCAGACCTCGGCGGGAGATGTTTGTGGGTACCAGGGTTTTGTTATCCCCCTCCCCTTTTTTGGTGTAAGTGGCATGTTGGCAATAGACAAATAACTTAATAAAAAGCAGCTCCTAAATGAAATAATTACTACTTCAACTTGGGCATTATGATAATTATCAATAGAATATTGAATCAGCTTTTGGTTTTTCAGGGAAAAAAAAGAAAATCCGAGCAAACCTTAAATAAGGAAGGTTTTATTTAAGGTCTCCAATTAGCATTAACAAGATTTTGGGGGCTTTTTCCTCTTTTGTTTCCTCCAGTAGGATTGTGAATGGTAGTGTGTGGTATAAGGTCGTTAGTTACTTTATAAAATGAAGGCTGTGTTCTGGGGGTTAGAGACATGGCTGTGAGGAAAAGGCCTTGATTCTCTTCCCCGTGTCACACACCTGGCTTTGGGCAGCCTCGGCCCAGAGAATGTATGCCCCTTCTTTGAGCTCTCTGTGCTGAGTCGGGGAACGTAGAAGAGTTCTTGTTTTAGGAGGTGAGGTAATGGCACCCAGTCTTTATATTCAGAAGGTTCCAGTTGTTTTTTCGTTTTTTTGAATTAAAACAGGAAATTGTAAAGTAAACTATTATTGCCTACTGGATCTCACCACAGAAGACTTTCAGTAAAATTTTACCCATCAGATATCAGATGTCATTGCTCTTCAAGTAGTTCTTTGTGAAATTCAGCTATTGTCAGTATTTCGAGATATTTTCCAATTGCCATCAAGTTGATTCTGACTCATGGCGGCCTCGTGTGTTAGAGTAGAACTGTACTCCATAGAATTTTCAATGGCTGATTTTTCGGAAGTAGATTGCTGGGCCTTTCTTCTGAGGTGCCTCTGGTTGGGCTCAAACTGCTAACCTTTTTGGTTAGTAGCCATGTGTGTTAACTGTTGTACCACCTAGGGACTTGGATTCCTCATATGAGGACAAACAATATGTTTTAATGGATCAAAGTCCAAATTGTAGTACTGAAAATAGGAGAAGAAACAAAAGGATGCCAAAATTTTGGCAAAAAATGGAACACTCCTTAGAACAACTCTTTTCTGGCAACCCGCCTCTCATCCCCAAAAGTTATACTCCCTGGGAGCTTCTTAAAAAATTTCCCTTATTCATTTCTCAGACAGGTGTGATGGCAGCCAAGGTGACCCAGGACTTAAGGGTGTGTGTCTCTGACCTGAGTGGGTGCTGAGCTTGGGACTAACTACAGGGCGCTGGCTCGTTTATCACCTGTGATATTTTGCTTTTCTTCTCTTTCTCGTCTTCTCCCACCTCAACAGATAATGTTGAATTCTCTGCATAAGTATGAGCCCCAGGTTCACATAGTACGTGTTGGAGGTTCCCACCGAATGGTGATGAACTGCTCCTTCCCTGAGACCCAGTTCATAGCTGTGACAGCCTATCAGAATGAGGAGGTGAGTGTGTGTGTGTGTATGTGTGTGTGTGTGTGTGTGTGAATGCCACCTGGGAGAGTGCGGTGGCCAGGGAGAGGGGTGTGCTTTTATTGCCATGACCAAGCTTGGACAAAAGGTAGGTTTTCCAGGATTCAGATACACTCAGTAAAGTGAAATTAAACAACGGGGTAGCTACTTTCCGCTCCCTCTTGCCTGTTTGCCAAAGGCCTGCCATGGCTTCCTTTCCTGGTGCCAATAAGGCAACGACTGTGTGTTGTTTTAAAACCAACAGAAACCCAGGAGTCTTTGTTTTCATCCCTAATGTGCCCCTGGGCTGCATGAGCTGCTGGGTGCTCTGGGACAGGTGCAACAGGGCAGGGGCTGAAGAGCAATATTCTCTCCTGCTCTAGAAGCAAGTCTGTGGGAATTGATCCAACTGTGCACCTTCTTTGGGTTTTTATAATGTGATCTGTTCTGTTTGTTAATTTTTAATATCTGAGCCTAGTTAGGTCTTTTCCTGCCCAGTGACTTGAGCTGCTCTGGCTGGTAGAATCTGGCCTCTGTGTAAACTGGTGGGGAGCAGGATGTTTGGGTCCATTCATGCCCCGGAGGCATTCCCATGCCTGCTGGTCATCAGAAGCACCTGGGGAGGTTTGGATTCTTTTTACTTAAACTTTTTTTTTTTTTTAATGAGATAATGTAGATGATATTCTCTGTTTGGCACAAGGCAAGAGTTCAGTAAGTGGAGTGTCTTTAATTTCTTTGATACGTTATAAATATTCCATAATAAAAAATACTTGCCATTTTTACTTAATTTTTAATTTTATTGTGCTTTAGGTGAAAGTTCACAGCACAGCTTTGTCTGTCTTTCAAAAATTTATACAGAAATTGTTTTGTGACGTTGGTCAGCACTCTTCCCCCTTCCCTTTCCACCTCGGGTTCCCCAGGTCCGTTTGTCCAGTTTTCCTGTCCCTTCCTGCCTGCTTGTCTTTGCTTTTGGGCAAGTGTTACCCCTTTGGTCTAGTATACTTGATTGAACCAGGAAGTATGTTCCTCAAGTGTATTATTGTTTATTCCATAGGCCTGTCTAATCTTTGGCTGAAAAGTGAACTTTGGGAGTGGCTTTAGTTCTGAGTTAGCAGAATGTCTGGGGGCCATAGTCTCAGGTGTTCCTTCAGTCTCTGTCAGACCAGTAAGTCTGGTCTTTTTTTATGAAATTGAATCTTGTTCTAATTTTTTTCTCCCGCTCTGTCTGGGATCCTCCACTGTGATCCCAGTCAGTGGCCAGTGTTGGTAGCGGAGCACCTTATAGTTCTTCTGGGCTCAGGCTGATGGAGGCTGTGGTTCATGTGGCCCATTACTTTTTTGGACTAATATTTTCCTTGTGTCTTTGGTTTTCTTCATTCTCCTTTGCTCCAGATAGAATGGGACCAATAGATGTATCTTAGATGGCTGCTCAAAAGCTTTTAAGACGCCAGACCTACTCAACAAAGCAGGATGTAGAACATTTTCTTTATGAACTATGTTATGCCAATTGACCTAGATGTCCCCTGAGACCATGGTCCGCAGCCTTCAGCACTAGTAACTCAGTCCCTCAAGATGTTTGGATGTATCTAGGAAGCTTCTATGACTTTGCCTTGGTCAAGTTGTACTGAATTCGCTATGTCGTGTGTTGTCTTTCCCTTCACCAGAGTTACCACTTGTCAACTATCTAGTTAGTGATTTCCCCTCCCACCCCTCCACTCCTTCGTAATCATTAAAGATTGTTTTTTTTTGTGTGTAAACCTTTTCTTGGGTTTTGTAATAGTGGTCTCATACAATATTTGTCCTTTTGTGATTGACTTATTTAACTCAGCATAATGCCTTCCAGATTCATCCATATCGTGAGATGTTTCTCAAATTCATCATTGTTCCTTATCATTGTGTAGTATTCCGTTTTGAGTATGCACCACATTTTGTTTATCCATTCATCTGTTGATAGGCACTTAGGTTGTTTCCATCTTTTTGCTATTGTGAATAATGCTTCAATGATTATGGGTGTGCTTATGTGTGACGGCTCTCATTTCTCTAGGATATATTCCCAGGAGTGGGATTGCTGGATGGTGTGTTATTTCTATTTCTAGATTTTTAAGGAGGCACCATATCGTTTTCCATAGTGGTTATACCATTTTACACTCCCACCAACAGTGCATAAGAGTTCCAGTCTCCCCAAAAGCTCTCCAAGTATTTGTTATGTTCTGTTTTTTCGATTAGTGCCAGTATTGTTGGGGTGAGATGGTATCTAATTGTACTTTTGATTTGTATTTCTCTAATGGCTAATGATCACGAGCGTTTCCTCATGTGTCTATAGCTGCTTGAATGTCTTCTTTGGTTAATTTTTTTTTAATTAAAAATAATTTAAAGGTATACATGTTTATTAAAAAACAAACAACCAATAGTGCAGAAATATGTAAAGTCAAAATGAAAAATAAAAGGTAAAAACTGACTGTTTCCCTCCTACCTTCTGATTCCCACTCCCCAGGGTTACTACAATAATAGTTTCAAGTGTATTTTTCCACACAATTTCCTATGCAGATATAAACATATATGTGAACATAGCCATTCTTATATAAATTGGCTCATGTTGTATATATTGGTCTGTAAATTTCTTTTTTTTCCAATTTAACAGTGTACTGTGGCTATCTTTCTATGTAATTATATTCAGACCTAGCTCATTTTCTTCAGTGCCTGCAGAGTGTTCAATTGTATAGATAGACCGCATTGCAGGTAATCAGTCTCCCACTAATGGACATGTAGGTCGTTCCCAATTGTTTTATTTTTCTATTATAGGTAATGCTGCAATGAATATCCTGGTACATCTACTGTAGCTTGCTTACTTGGGTAAATGTCTAGAAATGCAATTGTCCTGCCAAAGGGAGTATAAGTTTAGAATTTTGACAGACATTGACAAATTGCCTCCCTCCAAAAGGTATATCCATTTAAAACCCCACACCATTATCAGCACTAATTATCATCAACTTTTTCATCCTGACAATCTGATAGATTAAAAAAATGATATCTTGTGGATGCTTTAATCTGCATTCCTTTATTTGGAAGCTTTAAAAAGATTCTGGGCTCTCATCAGCTAACTGAGTCACAATCTCCAGGGTTGATGCTCAGAGTCCGTCTGTATTTTTAGAAGTCTTCCCAGAGGATTCTGATGACCATCCAGATTTGGGAATGACTGCCTCAGCACCTACAGGTGAAACCAAATTGCAGATTTAACTCACATCCCAAATGTGCAGAGAAAATGCTATTCTATAAGTAATCTGGCCTTTGCCAGAGCCCCTTCAGCAGGCCAGTGGGAACAGGTATTAACTAAATAGCTGATAATTTAAACAGCTCCCCACGTAGTGCTGTCTTTCAGGATAAAAATGCTGTTTCTCAGATAACCACTCCCTCCCCCTGCTTCTCTCCCTATTTAAAGTCTGGGTCTCTGAGGGGAGAGTGTGGCTTTTCCAGCCCCTGAAGAGTGGGAAGGAGTTGGGGACCATGTTCTAGCCTCCTCTGGCCTTTGGGCAGTGCCCCTTGTCCACCTGCGTGCTGTTTATTCTCCTAGACTGTGGCCCACAGAACTTGTCATCTGCTTTTGGGCTTGGTAAGCACTCAGTAGCTTTTCCTGGCTGTGCCTGCTGGACAGTTCCCTCTGAAGCCCCTTGCTTGGCTCTAACAATCCTCCAGCAAGTGCTACTTCCTGGTCTCAAATAAGACCATGGGAGTTAACCTCAGGAAGATCTACCCTAGAGCCTCCCTCTGCCAACAGTGTTTCCCTACCAGGTCTATGTTGATGATGCTGAGATGCGCCCCTGAGGAGGGTTGAGGTGGGACAGCATCTCTCTTTTGCCCCTGCTAGCCTCACTTACCTAATGCTACTCAGCCTCTCCAGGTTTAAACCTGAAGGTCACACATACCTGACTCTTTACCTCTCCTCCCTCTTTCTACCCGTTTCTTCTTACAGTTAATTCTCTGGGACCAGAAAGAATTGTGCTTTTATTTTACTTTTCTTCCTTTACCAGAGAGAAGCAAGCCTCAGGTCCTCAAAAACATAAACATTCTTTTCAATATTCATTTATTCAGTAAATATTTGTTGAGTGTTAGTACGTGCTGCATATTACTCGAGGTGCGGGGGATACTGCAATGAACCAAACAGACATTTACCCTGCTCTCAAGATACTTACATCCTAGTTGGGGGGAGACAGATGATAAATATACATCTATCTCTAAGGAGCCCTGGGGGCAAAATGGTTAAACGTTTGGGGGTTTGAACCCACCAGCCACTCCACAGGAGAGAAATGTAGCAGCTCCGCGGGAGAAAAATGTAGCAGTCTTCTTCCATAAAGATACAGCCTAGGAAACCCTATGCTGCAGTTCTACTCTGTCCTGTAGGGTCGCTATGAGTTGGAATCAACTCAATAGCACAGAACAACATCTCTGTCTCTGTGTCTGTCCCAATCTCTATATCTATCTATGTATCAGACAGTGAGTGTGCTGAAGAAAAATGAAGCCAGTTAAGGGGATAAAGAGGGCAGTGACGGTTCAGTGGTAGAATTCTCGCCTTCCATGCAGTAGACCTGGGTTTGATTCCTAGCCAGTGCACCCCATGATGCACCTATCTGTCGGTAGTTTTCATGTTTCTGTGATGCTGAAGAAAGGTCTGGCAATCTACTTCCAAAAATCAGCCAGTGAAAACCCTATGGATCACAACAATCCCATCTGTAACTGATCATGGGGATGGCAAAGACTGGGTGGTGTTTTGTTCCATTGTGTGTGGGGTCTCCATGAGTTGGGGGCCAACTCGATGGCAGCTAACAAGAACAACAAAAATGTGACCATGACCGTGGATGGGAGTGTTAGTTTGCTTTTTATATTAACATAGCCCAATGGGTAAGCAATTATTTAAGAATTAGCCTTTGATTTACATTAGGAGATTGATGCTAGACTATACTAAGAGTGGTAAGATCACCCTGTGCTACCCACCACAGTGTTCCCAGTGGCTAGAAAAATGACCAACATATGGTAGATGTTCAGTGATTGTTGAAAAACGAATGAATTAATAAAAGAATGAATGCTAGGCTTAGCTTTGTTTATTTCTAATGCTCTGTCCTTTGTTCATTTTACACTGCATTTTTCATTTTCACAATATGCCAGAGATGTGCAAGAGTGATTTAGTGCAGGAGTACAGGAAGAAACATGGATAAGGAGAATTTTAAAAACTGAGGGGGATGATCCTGATTTTATAGAAGTTCACGGGTGAAAACAAAGGGTTCTGTCTGTCCATATGCATTCTACTTTCACTAACACTTCTTGTCTTTCTAAACTCAAGATAACAGCTCTCAAAATCAAGTACAACCCTTTTGCCAAAGCCTTCTTGGATGCCAAAGAAAGGTGAGTGTGACCTATTCTCACTGTGAGTTGGGTGAAAATTGGGTGGGAGGTGGGTGGGACTATTTTAGGGGTGATCTCATGCCACACTCAGCCTTCCTGA